TCACCGGAGCACTGGGATGAGGTCCACAGCCACAGAGCACGTCGGACACAAAAAAACAAGACCGAAAGTACCAGATAATATGAGCCAACACGAACAACCGGGTGTTAATTCTATTTTTTTGGGTGGCATCACTTTGAGAATGTTACTGTAGAGATGTGCAGGACGCAGCTGCCTTGAGGGCATGAATAATAAGTGCTCTGTCGTTTTCAGTCTTCTCCGCTCAAAACGATGCCCGATACGCTGAAAGTCCATATAAGTAATGTAATGTAGTCCATTTTTGGGTTTCTCCTGAGCGTTTAAGTTGACTGTGTCTTGGGGAGCCCGTCACCCTTTGAAGGGAGCTGGGCTCATCTTAGCTCCCCCGTAATTCAAACCCTGGCTAGTCAACACATTCTCACACCCAAGGCGTCAAAATATGACGCGTGTGACCAAGCCTCAGTATATGACGATTCGGGATGCCCCAGCGCGTCAGGAGATGACGATCAGGGACACGCTGATGGCGCACCGTCCCAGAGCGCCGGTATCCGACGCCGGTGGTGAGACGGACATTAGAACCACTTTTGAACTACTTAACCTTCCCCTCACCCCAATCCTAACCTTAAGGTCACAGTTTATGGACCTTATGGTTAGGATTGGGGTGAGGGGAAGGTTAAGTAGTCTAATAATGTCCGTGTGACCGTGCACGTCGAACAGTGACGCCAGCGGAGCCACGTGTCCCTGATCGTCGTGTCCTGACGCGCTGGGGCGTCCTGAATCGTCATTTATTGAGGCTTGGTCACACGCGTCATATTTTGATGCCTTGGGTGTGAGAATGTGTTGGGCTAGTAGAAGCTAATTGTTATCATCGGGTACTCCGCAACATGGCAGAACTCCTTCAGGCTTGTGTTAGTTGTGGAGGTAAAACATCAATGTTGCAAAGCTGATTGTTGTTAGCCAATCCGAGGTGAGATGTCCAACCATCAGACATAAGGCTCCATATCCGGCCACATTCAGTTCTGATCTGGCTTACTTCTAAGCCATTTCCCAATCTGGGTCAGTACGGGTGGGGCTGTGTCGCGTCAGTTCATGCTCGCACGGGCGTTTTTTAGTCACATATGGGTCCTAAAGACTTCTAAGCAATGCGGAAATCCCCGAGCACCTGGGTGGCACAAAAGATGCACGGACAAGTCCATGGTGTCCTCTTTAGTAAGGTAAACAAAGGCGGGAGTGAGCTGTGTTGCTTTTGGAGAGTCTAACCCACGTTATTTTATTAGTCTACTCTCTGTTCTCTCACTGATGACGCTGCTTGTCCCAATAACTGTCCTGCCCCATCAGCGCATACGGGAAGCCCTCACTGGCTGATTCTACCCGTCAATGGTAGGCGGTAGGCATCAATTTCAGCTGGCCAATTGGTCTGTAATGTCACCTCGGTCCCCAGCCTGACCGCTGAGGAAGAGGTCTGAAGAAAGCCGTCGCCTCAGAACGCAAAATGCACAAATGACCCAGATGTGAAACCGAGTCAGCTTCCTGAACTGGCTCATACTGGCCCAGATGTGGAAGCGGCTCTAGTTCCTGAAATGGGAGTGCCAGAGCTCAACTCACAAGACGTATTAATACTAGAGACCGTTGTAAATGGATTGAAAAAATGAGTGGATTTGGCCTTTAAATAATTTCTTCATGAATAGTTTGACAGCCTGTGTCCATTCTGATGTGGTTTCAGGCCTTCATCACATTCCTGTGTCTGTACGGAATGGTGTGGTATGCAGAGACGTACGGTCCGAGGGGAAAGGTGCGTTTGAGTTCAGTCTGTGCAGACCAGGAAGCTGCACTCATGCAGGATGTTCCTCTCATCAGAGCAGCTTAAATGAGATTTATGATTGGTGAGAGGGAGTTAGACTGGCTCCTTCTCTTCCACAGAAGTGCAGTAAATTCCCTGAGGTTGCATGTTTAAATGAGAAGTAGACCACAATCTCAGACCAGTTCCTAGTGTGAAGATCAGACCCTCTGGCCTTTCAGGTCACATATCTGTGAGCTTTGCTTGTTGCGTGTCGTTATCCTGTTTTTATCTTGCAGAGCTTCTCGGAGTCGGAGGACTGTAATTACACAGAGACTCCTGACCAAGCTTCAGAGGAATTTTACGGTACAGCAGCGTACTCGTACAGTAACACTCGCACATCACATCTGTGTTTTAAACACCTGAGCTTCGTGTTTCAGATGATTTGGATGTAAACGACGACAGTCCCATGCCCAGACGAAGGGTAAAAGGCTCAAGGAAGACCAAATCCATCAATGGCCTTGACGGCCAATAGGAGCTGGATCCTGCGTCCAGAGTAAGCTGCGTGAAGCGGAGACAGCAGAGAGCGGCAGATGAACAGGGCCATGCAGTGTTATTAGGAAAGTGTGTGTGTGTGTAAAACACAGCTATATTAGATGTGACCGCATGTCCACATCCATGTTTAGACTGCACCTGCCTGATCTCCACGTTGGCTCTACCATGTTTAACAAGAACATTTTGTTAAATGAAAGCCTGTTTGTACGTAGGACCGACTAGTGTACATAACAAGTACCACTAAATGTGTTTAACTTGAATGTTGGCTGATTTTCAACACAAGGACGGCCTTCCCTCGGTAGGGTTGTTGGTGGTATGACCTGTAATGAAGCACACAGTTAAAGCACTTTTTGCAGAACTTTTCCTTCAGAAAACTGAATCTTTTTCTGTTCCAGTATGTGAATCATTGTGCTCTTGCGCAGCTGTTATCACGTTAGCGTTGTGTTTAGAGTATTTGGCCGGGCTGATGTGAGAGGGTGATTATTCCTCTCTGGTTGTTTTCTGTAACTGCTTGTTGCATGGATGTTTAATCTGCTGTTTTGATATGAAGACGCTGCAGCAGTAGACGCTGTGCACTAGTGTTGAACATTTCCTTGTGACATTCTAACTTTCACCTCGTGCCTCTCTGCATGGAATTATTTTTTATTCCCAACATGTCCCTGTCTGTATTAAGACTGTATGTTGAGTTTTCTTATCCTGGGAGCGTTACTGAAGGGTTTTCTCGCCCGTTGCTCCTGTTTGCATCATCTCAGTGTGGATGTCTCCTACATAACCCTCGACAATCTAAGCGCCAACCCCGTCACCTGGCTTCTTGTGCTACATTGGGCATTTTTTAAATGGTACGTTGTCTCTGGATCTACATGTCATTTGCCAAACAAAACCATTTCTGCTGAAGGTAACTTGTTTTGTTTTTCACTGTGAAAAAGGCGAAATAATAAAAGATTTTACATTTCCTCTTCATTTGAAAGTGAGTGCTGCCTTTTTAAAACAAAGGACTTTACTGTTAGATGATCTCACTGGAGGACCTCACGTTGGAGGGAAGGACAGATCGGCCGCCTTTTGCTCACATTTCACTCAGTCAGCGTGTTATCAAAGTCAGGCTGAAGTAGCTGCGTAATGCAGATTCAAACCAGGATGTATGTGAAGGCCATTACACCTAATACTGACCGTAAATGCAGATGATCGCAGCGTTTCACAAATCAAAATAAAAGCCTCCAGATTTGAGCATCTCCTCAAAAGTACGACATTCAATTTAATTTCCTTTCATTTCCAAAGCAGGGCAGCAGAGAGCCTCGGTTTGACTCACGTGATGATGGGAGGCCTCAGGGCAAAGACCTGCAGCTTACATCCTTTCATCCATATCACCCAGATGAGCAGGGTTTCTTATAGAGTTTTGCACCCTGCAGCAGCTGACCGAGTCTCTGCAGGACATCCGGATGTTTCCTTCATGACTGACCAGAGTTGGTCTCCCACATAGTGGCTGTCTGAGGGAGATACAGATAAAGTTACTGGAGTGCTGTCTGCGTCGATGCATGTCGTTCTCAGCACAGGGAGTGCAGGGCCGTTCCTGTGGTCGTGCTCTCTGTCCCACCCTCTGAGGAAGCTGGAGTGCTCACTCTAGACAGCTGTGACAGCACCTCCCTCTGCCCGGTTCTCACTGATCAGCAGGGGCTTCTGTTGCGCTTCCGATCCTCATCTTATGTAGGTTCTGCTCCGAGGGCAAAAGTAGATTTGATCTCAGCTGCAGGTCTGCACCTTTGCACTGTATTTGGAGGTTGTGGGACATTTATTATTCCCACTGGGGATTGGTTTTGGGTTTAGATAAATGTGTTGAATAAATTAAGTAAAACAGATTGGACCTCCTGCATGACCATTAGGGATAGTCCAAACTAGGTAGTTCATTATAATGTGTGTATGCCAAACAAGCAGCAGACCAGTAGATTGAATTAAAACGGTGAAAGATAGCAAAAATTACGTCAGTTATTAGACACCAGAAACTAAGTAAAACTGGAAACGTTGATTTTTTTAAAAGTATTTGCTTGGATTTTTTGCTAAAATCTATATATTTTACTACATAATTATTCTTCTCAACCTGTTTGTCTCTTTTAATGCTGAAATGCTCCGAACGCAGGGTGTTGATTGGAAAGTGACTCATTCAGTCATTATTCGCTACTTTTGTTACACATATCCCTAAATGTCTCCTATCTCTAACAGGGTTGGTACATTCCTCACTTCTGCGCAAGTATTTTTGTGGAATATTACAGTATTACAGAACGTAGGGCCAATTATATTTTGCCTTGACTATTATAACGTTGTATTTATCTAATGAAATGTGTTTGATAATTAGATAATTGTTTTTTTAAAGAGCCCATTAAAAGATTAATCAATTGGAAACAATTATTTTAATGATTATTTTATATATTGGGCTTAAAGGACAAAATAATGAAATCTTAATATAAATGTGATGGTTTGAAATGAAATATTTAAACAAATTCAGATGGCAGCAAACTGAAAAGCTTACTTGCATGGTGGTGCAGTGGTTAGCACTGTTGCCTTGCAGCAAGAAGGCTGCCGGTTCAAAACTCGGCTGCGGCCTTTCTGCGTCGAGTTGCAGGTTCCCCCCATGCATGTGTGGGTTTCCTGCGGGTTCCCCATGCATGTGTGGGTTTCCTGCGGGTTCCCCATGCATGTGTGGGTTTCCTGCGGGTTCCCCCACTGATTGCAACGTGCCCCATATGCTGCTTTGGATAAAAGCGTCTGCCAAATAAATAAGCATAATTTGGTGAACCTCTCGTGCCAGATGCATCCTGTTAAAGTTGTTTTTGAATATTTAAGTTGACAACCAGCACCCCATCAGAGACTGCTTCCTTCATAATGACTTGACAGAATGGCCCCCCTTCGAGGCTTTGCTCCGTCCCGGTTCGGCTCAGCTCAGCCTCTGCGGTTCCGCCAGTGGAAGATGGCGCTGGCGGGGATGCTGTCTGGGACTAGCAGAGGTTTCTCATTCCAAAAGGACAACCCTAAGCTGGATGATATATAGAAAGACAAAGATGAACATGAAATCAAACTTTGTGCCTGAACGCTGCACTCTTTGGGGGTGTTTTTAAGGAACAATTATCGTTTTTTTTTTCCTGTCTGAAATCCGCGCTGCTTGTCCGGGACGGACACTAAACCCATTTCCAGCTCGGCGCACAGACACGGTGGGAGTTGGAAAAGTGGACGAAAATGTCGGACTCGAAGGTAAAAGTTGCAGTGAGAGTTCGGCCCATGAACCGCAGGGGTAAGCGTTTTCACGCAGTCACTATTTCCGTTCGCACTCTTTTCTGCCTTATTACCACAAACTTTCTGCTGTCTGCGCCATTCGGAGCTGTGAGCCTCGCTTGGCATTACCCCAAATTATTTCTACGACTTTACCCCAGACAACTAAACTAAACCAAACACCGACTTCTCTCTGCAGAGATTGAGCTTAATACAAAATGTGTGGTGGATATGGAGGACAACCAGACAGTGCTGCACCCTCCACCATCCAATGCGAAAGGAGAAAGCAGGTAAACAAAGCGAGATTTGCATTAGTTATTTGAAGAAGCTACTGGGTGGAATTATGCAAAAAGTAGCAAATTCCACTCATATGTGATGCTTCAAAGACTTTAAACGGCGTGTCTTTTGAAAGTTATTAAAGGTGTGGTTCAGTGGGTAGCCAGAAACTTATTTACGGGTGGGCCTCAGAAAAAAATGGGTGTGCCCAATAAATGTAATTGAAAACCAGTATATTCTGATATAGTTATGTGTGTGTGTGTGTGTGTGTGTGTGCCCTCTGCATGTGCATTCTGCATCACAACATGTTTCTACTGGCCTGCGATCCACACTGCGCTCCGAGCTCCCTGGCCTGCGCACGTTGTCAATAGCAAGATATTTTCCGTATTTGACCATTTTTTAACGGTGACGGAGAAATCTGGAGGCGGTCAATCCTCTCCAGATTGTAATGAATACCCCTGTCTCACGCAGGTGTGCAGACATTGTAAACCTCACACACAGAACATCGTGGGTGCACCAAATAAATCAAGAAAAGAGCATTATAGCAGTATCATATTATATTACCACACTGGAAACGCATCACTCTATTAACAGCGTGCTGCAGGTCCGGAGTTCAGAGTGCATCGGTCATGCTGGTCAGACGCGTTCCAGCGGAACCGGCCCACGGGTGCACATGTGGTAGTGAGTGATTTTACAACTTTGGTTTAAATAGTGCCAATAACGAGATGCAGTGACCGGAGCGGTTAATGGAGCTGTGCCGCACACACACCCTGACTCAATCCGAGAGTGGTGGTGGTTGAGGGCGGGTTCCCAAAAATAAACAATGATGAACAAGAGTCTGCTTCTAGACCTGCAGAAAGAGAAAAACAACACACAACAATACATCAGGAGCAAGCTATCACTGCGTCACCCTGATGAGGAAATATATAATCAACATTGTTTAACTGAACAATCACACGATAAGTCACAGTGCATTAAGTGCCCACCACAGCCTTAAGACATGTGTTGAACGTGCCCAAGCACATACTTATGAGAGCATCATGAGAGCACCTGTGTGTGTACACGCGCTTGTATATGTAAGATTTCTCTATAGGAGCGTCCAATAGAGAGTGTGAGGGACCACAGATCTGCCTCCTAAAGATGCGTAGGAGATGGAAGGAGCTCCAAGTCTCAGAGATGCAGGAGCTGCCCCAGAGCACAGGAACCCCAGGGAGACTGCAACCAGAAAAGCCCCTAACCCCCTTCGAGAGGTGCAGAGGATTGCCCCAGGGGGCCACAACCAGCAGCCGTCAGAGTCCCGGGAGATATCAGCGGCAAGCCCACAGGCCCGCCCGCAGCCTCCCGCCTCCAAGCTGGCTGGAACCCAGTGGCCCGGGACCCAGGGGCAACCAGCCCCGCCGATGACCCAACAGAGCTCAGGGACTCAGATCCCACCAGGCAGCCACCAGGATCAGTCAGACAGATGCCAAAAATCTTAAACACCCTGACCCGGGAGCCGCGAACACTCAGGCAGACCAAGGCACCGCACTCCACACAAAATGTGGCCTGGGGTGGGCAGGTGAAGATGTGTAGTCGCACAAGAAGTCCCAGGAGAGGGGAGGAGTCCAAGACCCCACCTGACATATACAGTCATATACAGACAGAGTCACACACTCCCTCCCTCATGCTCACCTGATGATCACACGCAGTCGGGACAGAGGAGAGGACTCCGTCAGAAATAAATAAAAGAATGAATTTGATAAATTGTGGAGTAACTGCTTGTTAAGGAGTCGTTCTGTTTGGAGTTAGTTTTATTTGGAAATGTTGTCTGAGAGTGCAGCCTCTTCTGAGCTGTCATTCAGTCTGCTTACCTTGGCAACACGGCGTGGATGACGAGGGAGCAGAGGAGGTTCTGGGGAGCTCTCGTAGTTTTAAAATAAAATATTAACTGGAATCAGATTTGTGAGGTTTGTCTGTCGCGCCCCAGTGGGTCCAAAATCACAGCATACCAGAAGGAGTTCTTTTAAGATCGGTGCGCTCAGGGAGAACGCGTTCCCTCTAGTGTGCAGGTTCCTTTCAATCCTCCAATAACACAGATTAGCCATGATAATGTCAGATTGCTGTTGGTCACGTGTCTTTTACTGGTTTTATTTTATTTTTTATCTGTTTATTGAAAAAGAGATATTTTAGTATCAGAAGCAAATGAGAGACATGATATTATCGGGCATACATTTACAATGACATGAAAGTAAGTGCTGTACCATTGAAGATTAAACAGAAATATTTATTTTTAACACAAACCATGTCACAATATTATTTTCTCTCCCTTTTTTAATTGTATTTAATGAGCACAAACGACCTAAATAAAACTAAGTGATTATGCTGAACAGCCAGGAGACAAAGAAAACCTAAAACCAAAATTAAACAACAAGTAGAACAGAAACGGAAAAAATAACTATTTTAGAGGAGGGGTACAGGATAGATTTTACAATTAAATAATTAGTAACAGAAACTCATGTGGAATTGAAAAACTGTTCAACTTTAATTTTCTCAAGTTTAAGAAAAGACCTTGTATCCGCCAGCCAGACAGAGCAAGAGGGAGCGGAGGATGACTTCCAGAGATAGCCTTGCTATCAGAAGAGAGAATAACAGCCAGATGATCGGGGACAGTGTCTTTAAATTCTCTGTCAGACCAAATATGGTAATATGAGGGGAGGGATTTAAATCTATAGAGTATTTTTGGCACATTGTTGCAGTAGGAACGCCAAAAGCGTTGAACCATCGGGCAGAAATAAAACATATGGGAAAGGTTGCAACCCGAGGTGTGACATTAATCACAGGAATCGCTTAAGGTGGGGTAGATTTGTGAAAGTTTTTCCTTAGAAAGATGAACCCTATAAAAAACCTTAAACTGTGAAGCAAGCACAAATGACAGAAATACTATGAACAGTTTTTAAGGCCCTGTCCCACCAGCCTCCATCCAGTATGACTCCCAGTTCACTTTCCTAGGCTGTTCTTACCCTAGATAATGCAGAAGATTCAAATGAAAGTAGTGAGTTATAAACTTTGGAAATATATGATTTCAGTAAGACATCTGAACTAAGAAATCCCTTCCATGATTGAGCTGGGGGTTTAAAAGGAAAACATGATTTTATGCAGTGTCTGATTTGAAAGTAATGAAAAAGATCGGAGGGAGGCAAAGAAAACTCATGAGCCAAATCACACGGGTTTGCACGCTCCGTTCCGCAGCGCTCCTCCATGAGAGCGGGGGGGGGGGGGGGGGGGGGGGGGGGGGTGTTGCACACGTTCCGCTGCTGTTTCTCACCAGTATCAGCTGATGGAGGGCTCTAGTTTTGTTGCGCCGTTCATGCCAGTGGACACGGTAAGGTCGGGGAGGGGGGCGGGGAATGACGCTTAGCCTGACAGGTGGCCAATGCTTATAAAGCGCTGGGGGAAACCCTGGTATTGATTAATGAGAGTGGTCTAAGATAAAGAAAGGTCTGGCTCTTTATCTTTCTTTAACAGCAAATTATTAGAAGACTGTCTTAATGTGGGGGGCAAAATACCATGTTCGAAGGATTCATTGGTCAGTGTGCGTCTGACCAGAGGAATCTTTAATTTGTCGGATAATATTTAAGCAGCTTTTCAATTAAGCTGATAAGCTAGAAACCGGCTTGATTTTTCACCGTATTCATAGAAGGTAGAATGAGAACGCAGAAGCAGACACTCTGCCTCAAAAGTTGTAATTAAATCAAATTCAGACTGTAGAGTTGTACTTATTTAAGTAGTGTAGATAATGAGGCCTCAGCAATTTGGTCATCGATTTTTGAAACACTTTTGGAAAGCTCAGCCAACTTAGCTTTGCAGTCCCTGTTTTTATGGACAGACAAGGAGATGATTACATCGGGCAAATAAGCTTTTAGAGATTCCCAAAGCAACGAATGTGAAATACGATGCATCTCATTCTTATTAACTCATTCACTGCCAGCTGTTTTCTGATCAGTAAAGCCCTTCGCTGCCAGCGTTTTTCAGCGTTTTCACAGTTGTTTTACGAGTCACAGAACGTTGCGCTCCATGATGATGTCAACGCCAAAACTAACAAAACAAAGCGGAGACTCACCTCTTACATCAGGAAGAATCCGCTCGTGTCGAGCGTTATCTGTTCTTCCATAATCCGTTGTCGAATTGTGATCAGCAGAAGCTTTTCAGGATCCTGCACAACTGTTTTTACAGCAGCAACCCAAAACGATCTCCTAACACATGGATTTTCTGCTTCCTGATCACGTGACGTGTGACGTACACGGATGAAGATCGGCTTTAGAGCTGGGATGTTTGTTCTCACGGTGCGGGGGCTCGTTCCGACGCCCACACTGTAAAAAAATGCAAATGACGACTTTAGTTTGGCAGTGAACGCTTGGATTTAAAATGACGACTTTTGTCGTCAATGGCAGTGAATGAGTTAAGAGCGATGAAGTCATCAATAGATGACAAAATTCATTTATTGATTTTGTCATCTACCAATAGTGAGGCGTTAAATCTCCAAGGAGTGAAGTACAGAGGTTGAGAAGAAATTTTAATTTCCATGATCAGAGGGGCGTGATCAGAAATAACAATTGGGGTATATTTAATAAGGAATAAGAAATAAGGTGTATTTAGTTACTGAGACTTTAGAAATGAATTTAACATTAATAAAAAATAATAAATAAGTGAAAAAGTCGGTTGTGGTTGTGAAAAAAGTAAAAGTCTTTTGCATTCGAGTTGCAAAACCGCCAAGGATCCACACAGCTGTATTGAGACAAAATCAGACAGAACTTTGGACATCAGTGATGTGGACAAGGTACGAGGGGTAGAACGATCTAAACTGGGATCTATAACACAGTTCAAGTCGCCCCCAAATACAATCAAAGTGTTATTGAACGAGGGAAGCCATTCGAGTAATTTATTCATAAATTGAGGGTCATCAAAGTTAGGTATTAATAAGTAAGATGGGAGTATGAGACAAGGTGCCAGAAATTATTAAATATCTTCCTTGTTT